ATGATAAGAAACTCAGCCAGCGTCTTAATGCAATCGCTTTCTTTCTGTTCTTAGCTTCGAGGTCAGTACACTGCCATTGTGAAGGCGATGAGACTATTTGATTATAACCAAGATGGCTTTATTCAGAAACAAGAGCTAAGAAGAGTTTTGGAAAACTTTTGTTTCAGAATGACTGATTTACAATTTGAAAGGTATTATCACTTGTAAAGAATAGTTTGTGTTTGAACTCTGACGTTTGTGTCTGGAAAAGATATCTAAATGTGGAGGTCCAGTGTAGGTAATAAGCTGTCGTGGTTTATGTCTGAACTACCTGAAAAAGATATCTCAAACGTGGTGATCCAGTGTAGGTAGTATTCTAGATTAATGAATTCATAAACCTTGTGGCAGATCATGTCAGCCATAATATGTCACGTGGAGTCGTGGAGTGACTTTATATCTAATAAAGCATGTGACATTATATAATTGTTCATCCTAATTAGTATGATTATATAATGGTCCATCCTAATTAGTATTCTTTTGTAGTCGTATTTTAGCTATTCAAAACACGAGTAGGAGTGTTTTATCAGACATAAAACGCTCGGCTACGCCTCGTGTTTTATATCTGATAAAACACTCCTACTCCTGTTTTAAACAGTACATAAACTGCCGTGGTTTGTGTCTGAATTACCTGAAAAAGATATCTCGAACGTGGTGGGCCAGTGTAGGTAGTATTCTACAATAAGCTAGCTGTCTTCTGCGTTAACCAATGGTCTTCTCTATCATGTAGATTGTGGGCCAAGTATGGCAAGGCCAACAATGGCAGCATGTTGAACTATACGGATTTTCTTGGGGAGCTGGCGGTTGCCAAAACAAGTCTTCAAGAAGGTATGTGTTAAAAACTATATCAATAGCCATGTTTATACCTTAAAACGTATGTTCTTCTTTACTGTATAAACTTTCCAACATTTTGTTTTGCAGAAAAGCCTACAGAGAATGGAGCAAAAAGATCCCTTGTTTCCCAAAATGGAGCAAAGAGGTCCCTTGTTACCCACAGCCTTCCCACATCACCACCTCCAGAAAATTACATCGAACAAACTTTCAGGGAAAAAGTAATGCCCGAGTTTGCAAGTTTTCTATCAGCTTCATTTATACTCCGTACCAGGTTATCCGTGTGGACGAGCCACTTGAGCAAATGAGTTTATAATCTGTGCCAAGTCATTTTTTAATACCATGGACTGGTGAGGCATTTGCCCCACTGGGCCCCTTCCTCTGCCCCACCACTGAAGAAACAAATGGCCTATTGCCCCAAAGCATGCAGGGCCCTGAGACCTGTATTGAGTAAATGAGTTTAACATTGAAAAGAAGTTTAAAAAACAAAATTTGTTGGTCATTATACTTAAACTTATGTTATGTTTGAATGTTTAGCATGCAATTTATTAAAAATTTCACCATTAAAACTTTGTTTTGAGAAGCTGAGATTTTTTTCAATGTGTTCTCAGAATGCAGGAAATGCTATGTCAGAGACCCAAATTTTAAAAATTTCCTGGGGGGCATGCCCCAGGTTCACCCCCCCCCCTAGCTAACTCGTGCCTGCGGTACTCTGCTCACACCTTCGGCGATCGCATACTATGCTGGCCCGGGAAGGCAAGGAAATTGGGTCCTTTGGCAGTTTTGCCCCACCACTGAAGAATCCTTAAAAAATGCACTGATATGTGCATCGTCTGCGGTTGCCAACCATCGGATAATGATTTTTTTAACCATTGTAAATTATATAATACTAGTTTTGTTTGTTGGAACACCACGTAAATTTATTTTACTGCAAAGCTTTCCATCACACATTATTAGCTCTGATGAAGATCCGGGCTTACGTGTCCAAAGCTTTGCAGTAATAAATTTACGTGGTGTTTCTACAAACAAAAAGTATTATATATTAGAGACAAAGGATCATCGCTCGGACGTCCAAATTCTCCTTATATTTTTCAGGTAGTTGCATCCCTGTCAATGAAAGCTTGTTTTTATGTAAATTTTTCTATCTAATGTCATGTGTATTATTATTATTATTTAATCTTATTTGGAAACGGTAACCCTTCAGATCTACTAACATCTGATTTCCAAGGGGCCGTTTACAGTAATACAATAAAAATATATATAAAAAGACATTAAAGAACTAACCTAACACAATACAGGAGCTATTTACAAACAAATGACATAATTAGATTCTATTTACTGTTCGCACATTTCGTCTATTCGTAATAAATTATAATCAGCTCGAGAGAATTGTTTTAATTGCCAAATAGGCCTTTCCCCTTTTGAGTGAAATTTTGATCTGGATAAAAATTTCATCACAGCTTGAAAGAGTATCACAAAATTAGTAATATTCCAAAGTTTCGTTGCGAAATGTTGTAAAATGCGGATAATATAGCCTTGCGAAGTTTGCCGTTTTTCAGTCATTTTGCATTACGCGGGGGAAATTGATAATCAGATGATCAAACTGATTATCAATTTTCCATTTGTAATACAAAATGACTGAAAAACGGCAAACTTCGCAAGGCTATATTATCCGCATTTTACAACATTTCGCAACGAAACTTCGGAATATTACTAATTTTGTGATGCTCTTTCAAGCTGTGTTTGTCTAGACTTGTCTAGATCAAAATTTCACTCAAAAGGGGAAAGGTCTATTATAACGTGTAATTTCTTTACTTTAGTTTCTTGCGAATTACGTGGTAATATATCGAGCTGTGATGATTCTGGACCATCGAGCAACTGGCTATGTTCCTTTGAGCGAATTTAAGAAGATCATTGTCAAGTATACTGTTTCAATGCCAGACACTTTATTTCATTCTCTACTGCAACGGTAAGATATAGATCATTTTACCTTTTTTTTACCGTTTTGTTTGTTTGCATTTGTGTTTGTTTGGTTGGTAAACCTTGGTCAAATGACAACAAGAGTTGTTGAGAGTTGAGAAGCGAGAGTTTGCATGAGAGTTGTTGAGAGTTGAGAAGCGAGAGTTTGCATGAGAGTTGTTGAGAGTTGAGAAGCGAGAGTTTGCATGAGAGTTTTCTCAACTCTCATGTCCTGATCAAATGAGAACAAGAGTGAGTTGTATGAGAGTTGAGAAGCGAGAGTTTGCATGAGAGTTTTTCTCAACTCTGATGTCCTGGTCAAACGAGAACAAGAGTTGCATGAGAGTTGATGAGAGTTGAGAAGCGATAGTTTGCATGAGCCGTGAGTTTTCTCAATATTTGAAAAGGGAGTTTTGCTATTTGAAAAGGGAGTTTTGCTATTTGAAAAGGGAGTTTTGCTATTTGAAACGGAAGTTTTGCTATTTGAAAAGGGTGTTTTGCTATTTGAAAACGGAGTTTTGCTATTTCAAACAACCGACTCCAATGTTTCTTAGTGCCATCAGTGCAATCATGTTTCATGCCAAGACATCTCAGACACATGATATACCAACTAAATTACGGTATTGAATACCTTGGACTTGGAAAGGTCATGTGGTACCAGCAAAAAATAAGTACGCAGATAGCAAGAGTTCCGCGTACCTACGTGGTACGTGGCTGAAAACAAAGAAGTACCAGACAGTAATATTGGCGTACCTGCGGTACGAAAGTACGCGAATTATCGCACCCTGTATTAAATAATGCCCCAGTCAAACTAGAACAAGAGTTTCGTGAGAAGTGAGTGGATATTACCGCGCGATAACGAAAACTCATCAACTCTCATCAAAACTTGGAACAGTTCAAAGTCAATGAGAGTCGAACGCGAGCGAGAATTGTAACTTTCGTCAACTTTTATCAACTCTTACAGTTGTTTGATCAAGGGTGTTAGGTTTGCACATTACGATTGAAAAGATACATGCCTATTTTCTTGTGCGAGACAATGGTTCGAGATCGAGGCTAACATGACATTTCATTATAGTTTCCAGTGGGAACATATTGTCAGTCTTCAATTCAAATTATTGTTTCGTCTAAACTCGTGTTTACTATTTTTATTCATTTCTCTATCCAGGTGTGGTATTACAGTCAGTTATCGCATTCACTACGAGCGTTTTATCGATTATTATGGCAAAGCTCAGTAAGTGAACGAATGAAAGACTTTATTGTACGAGGGTAAACACTAAACAGTAAAACTGGTAGAGTTGTGGCCCTCTAAATGTACATAAATACCGATATTTTAAGGCCTGAACTCACGGTGTAAGTTTTAATTTAGAACCAATATTTTATGGCAACCAGAATCAACGACAACTCAGGAAGATATCTTCAACGCTCTTCAATCCCACATCAATTCCAGTTTCTCAAGTATTAAAGATGCGTTTTTGGAGTTTGATTACGTAAGTGAAATGTAAGGCCGTCTGAGGGGTGGACCATGGCACTAGGTATCTTTGAAGGGGGGACCACTAGATATCCTTGAAGGGATGAGGGGAAATTTCTCTTGCAAGAATTTTTTTGAGCTTTGTCGGAGAAGCTGTACAGGAATTTTTGTAGTATGTATTTCTGTATATTCCCTTTTTTCTTTCCCTAAATGTTTGCATATTTTTTTCTAAAAATTCCAGTCTTTGCATATTTTTGGGGGATCAACAGTACCACAACAGCCCAGCTAAATTAAAAAGTGACCAACAATAGGACGGTTGGATGCTGTCTGGCTAGACCCTGGGTAATTGCTTGCTGCATACTGTAGATATAAGTGATCATCATTTATCTTTTTTTGTAGAACAAGGATGGTAAGATCAGTCGAAGTGAACTGCGTAGAATTGTGGAAAAATTCTCATTCCGTCTCTCTGAAGAAGATTACGCAAAGTTCATGTCACGAGTTGACCCTGAGCACAAAGGATATATATCTTATCACACATTTCTGGAAATCTTTGAAAGTAAACCCAAGGTTAATAGCATAATTTTTCTTTATTGACCTCCAGGAAGAACAGTTTAGAAGTGATATAGAGGTATCCAGTATAAATAAAGTTAGTTTAGTCCAGTTTAGGTTTCCTCCTGTAGTAATACTGGATCAATAAGAGGTGATCCTTACTGGACCTCTATGAAGAACAGTTTAGAACTGATAGAGCTATCCAGTATAAATAAAGTTAGTTTAGTTTAGATTTCCTCCTGTAGTAACACTGGATCAATAAGAGATGATTCTTACTTGACCTCTAAGATTAAGAACAGTTTAAAAGTGATAGAACTATCCAGTATAAAAAACGTTACCTAATGAGTCTTTAATTTGTTTGATTGTAGCATGGTCATCCATATTTGAAAGAACGTAATATCTCGAAACAAGTTTCTCCTCCAGCTGTAAAGACTTGGTCCACGGTGAGTTCCAACTAATCGTCCAAAGGTTACGCCAAGCGTTACAGGGCAGCATATGCTCTGCCAACTGAGCGGCGAGGTTAAATCGGTTCGAGTGGTGATATTTCGGAACTGAGTCTAGTTCCATAGATATCAATGTATTCTAAGATATGATACTTTGTGTGTGTTGGTGTTATGTATTGTATGTATTGTATTGTAGTAATACATTCATTAAAAGAATGTGTTTCTATTTTCAGGTGGAAGAGATTCTTCGTAATAAAATCAAAGACAACTGGCAGTCAGTTTCCAATGCCTTCATTGATGTCGACATGAACAGAGATGGTCATTTATCTCGGGATGAGCTACGCAAGTTGTTAGAAAGATACTGTCTACCCTTAACTGATGAGCATTTTGAAATGTAAGTATAATGTCACCTAGTTCTGAAGTCGTGTTGTGACGTCACTCTTTCAGCATGACGTCATGCAACGTCTAGTAATTTTATAATGATGGCGTGATCACAGCAGCGTCATATATATCTCTAGCTTGCTTGTTTGTTCAGGAGCAAATATTCATGAGCATTTTATTCGTAGTTTTTAATTTTTCCTACTTGGCAGGTTGTGGAGTTTATGTGATGAAAATAAAGATGGAAGAATATCTTTCAATGAATTTCTAAATAAACTGGTGAGTAATGTTTCTGGGTCTCCCAGGGAACAAGGTATGTTTTGCAATGGGAACAAGGGAACAAAGTCATAAATATCAGGGAACAATGAAACATGTAAGTTGGGGGAACAAGGGGAACATGGTGAAATTTTTGTGGGGAACAAGGGAACAAAATCATAAGTATCAGGGAACAATGAAACATGTAAGTTGGGGGGAACAAGGGGGACATTGTGAAATTTTTGTGGGGAACAAAGGAACAAAGTCATAAATATCAGGGAATAATGAAACATGTAAGCTGGGGGGACAAGGGGGACATGGTGAAATTTTTGTGAGGAACAAGGGAACAAAGTCATAAATATCAGGGAACAATGAAACATGTAAGCTGGGGGAACAAGGTGGACATGGTGAAATTTTTGTGGGGAACAAGGAAACAGGAAACTTTTCCAAGAGAACTCGGGAACACTGATCCCTGAGTAATTCTTTAAACGTGGTGGTCCAGTGTAAGTATTTCAGAGATTACACTTCATTGCCATCTTCACTAATGTTAAATACTGTATTACAGGGAGTTGATATCATCTCGTCTGATCTGCATGGGTTTAGCATGAAAATCACGGACGAAAGTGAAGCGAGGGAAAGTTTTATGAAACTAGATCAACATTTAAGGTAACAAGACATTTAGTTAGAGCGCTGCACCGGAATCGCAGGGTCGATCTACCAGAGGATGCAGTGTTGCATTTTTCACAAGCGTTCCTGGTTAAGTATAAAATGTGGATATATATCGTCACTTAATGAAAATGAAATGGTTTACAAATTTTTGTAGGGGAGATCGTGGTCCAGCTGAGATAAGAGCGCGTCAAGCGGTTGGCATACTTAGGGTAATTATGTTAATGTCATAATTTGAAATCACGCCATTTTCTCTATTTCTCTATTACATTTTCTCTATTTTCAGTTCTAAAATCAGTACTAACAAGGGACATAAATCTTAGTACTAATTATAATCTCAGAAATGCTGATATAAATCTTTCAGTTCCTAAACCACGTACTGAATATTTAAAAAAGAGTTTTGGATATAGCGGGGCTGTTCTATGGAATAGTTTACCTACGCAGGCAAAGCAAACAGAATCTTTAAGTAGCTTCAAAAATTTGATAAAATAATGTGTGCTACAGAGTCAGGCATCGAATAGTCTTGGGTTTTTAACTTTTTTATCTACGTATTTGTTATTCTGTGTTATTCTATTTTATATTTAATTTATATTAGTTTTTAGAATGTAATTTGTGTGACGCCCCTCATGAAAATCATCCATGGGTAATGAGGGAAGCGTGGTTAAACGTGGTTTTATAATAGTTTATACCTGTAAACCACATATAAATCATAAGTATTCTCTAGTTATAATCACTCCGCGCATTTTCAGTTCTAAAATCAGTAAAATGTTGTATTTCGGCTGATGAGAAATATCGTGACTCAATCTTTACGACCATATGAAACCAGTCCTTACCTCTGGCTTATAATGGGTCGTTCCAGAAAAGATCCACACTCCCCCCACGGAGGAAATTTCTGCCGTCCGGAGGGGGAGGAGAGACAGAATTCTTTCTGATAATAGTAAATGTATTAGGACATCTGAAGGGGGTAGGGGGGTTAACTTCCAATTTCCTCCATGGGAGTGGTATGGATGTTTTCTGGAATGACCCATTCTCATTTTGATTTATTCTCTCTATTAAGAATTACGTGATGCAAAAGTCGACGGACTTGAGGAAAATGTTCGTGAAATTTGACTCGAACAATGATGGGGAAATATCTGGCAAGGAATTCCGCAAGGTGAGAAATCTTTGCCGGTTCTGCTGGGCTGATAGCTCATGCTTGCTCCTCGCTATGACAGGGGAGAGGTGGGGACTGCCCCCTCTTCAATAATTTCAGAAAGCCTTTGAATGATAACTGAATAACTCTGTAACAAAGCTGTCACAATAATTTTGCAATCATGAAAACATTGGCAGGCTATAGATTAAGGTATATATACCACATGAAATTTAAGGCAAAAAAGTTTAAAGAACTAAAGCCCAGGGCAAACTAGGAAACATTGTTGCGGAAACATTTGTGATTCTCGATGTTTCCTCAAATGTTTCCATGTTTGCCCACCCATGGAAACATTGTTGCAGAAACAAAATTTGCTTCCCGGGAAGCAAAAATGTTTCCTACCAACTTTAAGAACATATGATGTTTCCCTATGTTTCTCACTAATGTTTTCGAGTGTTTGCCCACTCTGGGAAACATGGCGAAACATTGACAGGAATCAATGTTTCCGCAACAATGTTTCCTAGTTTGCCCAGGGCTTAAGATTTCCAGCTACAAAAAGTGGTCATATGTTGCTTACCTGACACCCCGCCCCCCCAATATTTTGCTATAGTATCCGTCAATGAACAGGCAGCTTACCATTACACAGAACTAGATTTCCAGCTACAATAAGTGGTCATAAGTTGGCTGGCCTCCCCTCCCCTCCCGCAATATTTTGCAAAGTGTCCGCCACTGGACACACCTTTGCTCCCTGCATTACACAGGCGTCAGATTATTTCTCATTGTTTACATAGATTTTGGAATCTCTTGGCCTAACCATGTCAGAACGTGAATTCGACATTCTCTGCACACAGTAAGTATAGCATTCAAATTTTGATACAAATTTTATCGATATAACCTTTTAGGAAAGCTCAAAAACTCGAAGCTCACAACTTATGGAATCAAATGCTTTCCAAGTGAGCCTCTGGTCAGTTAGGGGCTAATCCCAACCCATCCTGTCAACATTCCGTATATGGGAATCTCGTTTCAAAGTCGTGGATTTTCCCCGCGAGTAATCCAAGCCTTCAAGCGGAAGAGATTATTTCGCTGGCCTCAAAGACCCTTCTCCAAACACCAACTCTAACCCTAACCTAACCCTACTCCAAATTTGTTTCTAAACCAATCTTGAAGAAAAACGTTTTGACGAAATGTCATTGTGAGGTCAGCGAAATAGTTGATGCCCCTTCAAGCCCCGATGTCAGTGACGATTTTTCTGACGATTGCGCCTCTGATAATTATAATTTTATTTCCTTTCTCTCTAGGGTTGGATTTTCTAACGGTACATTATTGTACAATAAATTCCTGAAACATTTCCAAGGAGTGAGATCTTCTCGAAATAATCTTGTAGACAAACCAAGGTATTATTGTCTGTTTCTACCTCACAGTACAACTCAATCAATTAACTTCATCAGATTATTCTCCCATTGTTCTCTCTTTGCAGATATGAACACAAAGAAGATTCAGATGCTTTATTTTCTGCGGAAGAAGCCGAGGCTAGAATTAAATCAAAATTACAACAAACATTCTCGGTTAGTGAATGCTTTCAGTAAGCTTTAAGCAAGTGTGAGAACGGCTTTGTAATACTAATTAATTTTAATTAGCACTGATTCGTATTAATTAATTAATCAGGGTCTTCGAGAAGCTTTCTACAAATTCGATGATAATCATGATGGGCAAGTCACAAGGGGAGAATTTCGTCGCGTTTTGAAATTATTTATGATCACGATGACAGACGATGAATTTGACCGACTTATGAATAAATTTGAGTTTGAAAAAGATGAGACTCTGAACTACCGTGAGTTCCTGAAGAGATTTGAAAAGTATGAAAACATTGAGAGTCATGGCTGGCTGAAGGGGAAACGCAAGTAAGATTATATTGTTTGTTGTGCTGTGTGTGTTTTGATGTTCTCCAAGTAATGCCCACACCAGACAAGTAGAAAACTACTTGATCATGGTGGGATTTGTACTCAGGTAGATTATATATATATTGAATGCATGATGTTCTCCAAGTGATGTCCGCATCAGACAAGTAGAAAACTACTTGATCATGGTGGGATTTGTACTCAGGTAGATTATATATATTGAATGATGTTCTCCAAGTGATGTCCACACCAGACAAGTAGAAAACTACTTGATCATGGTGGGATTTGTACTCAGGTAGATTATATATATTGAATGATGTTCTCCAAGTGATGTCCACATCAGACAAGTAGAAAACTACTTGATCATGGTGGGATTTGTACTCGGGTAGATTATATATATTGGATGATGTTCTCCAAGTGATGTCCACATCAGACAAGTAGAAAACTACTTGATCATGGTGGGATTTGTACTCAGGTAGATTATATATATTGAATGATGTTCTTCAAGTGATGTCCACATCAAACAAGTAGAAAACTACTTGATCATGGTGGGATTTGTACTCGGGTAGATTATATATATTGGATGATGTTCTCCAAGTGATGTCCACACCAGACAAGTAGAAAACTACTTGATCGTGGCGGGACTCACTCGATGATCTTTAACCACTATGTTGTTCTCTTAGTGCAGCGTCGGCCAGTGAAGTGGGGTATGTGACAGCGGAGCAGGCAGATGAGATCATGAAAACCAAGGCAACGCAACAGTGGGATGATATCTCCAGAGCATTTCGAAATTTTGATGAAGATGGGAATGGGATTGTTACCAAAAAGGAATTAAAGAATATTTTATATCGCTTCCAACTCTCCTTAACTCAGCTGGAATTTGATAAGCTATGGAACCGGTTAGTTCACGAAATGAAATATACGACTACGAATGACCATTAGAACACGGTTAATAGAATTAGAATGACCATTAGAACACGGTAGATAGAATTAGAATGTCCATTAGAACACGGTTAATAGAATTAGAATGACCATTAGAACAGGTTAATAGAATTAGAATGACCATTATAACACGGTTAATAGAATTAGAATGACCATTAGAACACGGTTAATAGAGTTAGAATGACCATTAGAACACGGTTAATAGAGTTAGAATGACCATTAGAACACGGTAAATAGAGTTAGAATGACCATTAGAACACGGTTAATAGAGTTAGAATGATCATTAGAATATGGTTAAAAAATTAGAATGGCCATTAGAAAGACAGTGACTCGAAGTAAAATCCTTGTCAACAGAGAAATTATACGAATTTACTTTCATTGCATAATTTCGTCCAGACTGATCATCCGTCTCCAGTATAAATACGGCCAATTAGAACAGTTACTAGAACTTTAGTAAATAAAACACGTGTTTATTGATTAAGAACATGGGTTTATTGATTAAGGTACGATACTGATCGCAATGGATACGTGGACTATAAGGAATTTGTTGCAAAACTTGGAGTGGAGTTTGCCTCTGGAGATACAGATGGACACAGTAGAAGAATTATTGATGAGAGTTATGATACGATCATGCCTGAGTTCAAGAATAAGGTACTTAATTCTCTCTATAGAGATCCAGTAAGGGTCATCTCTTGTTGATTGATCAAGTGTTACTACAGGAGGAGACCTAAACTAAACTAACTTTATTTACACTGGATAGCTCTATCAGTTCTAAACTGTTCTCCATTGAGATCCAGTAAGGATCATCTCTTATTGATTGGTCAAGTGTTACTACAGGAGGAAACCTAAACTAAACTAACTTTATTTACACTTGATAGCTCTATCAGTTCTAAACTGTTCTCCATAGAGATCCAGTAAGGAATGAATCTCTTATTGATTGGTCAAGTGTTGCTACAGGAGGAAACCTAAACTAAACTAACTTTATTTATACTAGATAGCTCTATCAGTTCTAAACTGTTCTCCATAGAGGTTCAGTAAGGATCATCTCTTATTGATTTAGTATTACTACAGGAGAAAACCTGAACTACTGTAAGCTAACTTTAATTATACTGGATAGCTTTATCAGTTCTAAATTGTTCTTCCCAGAGATTCAGTGTTATTAAATGATCCAGTGTTACCACAGCAGGAAATCCATGAATGAAAGCCATGTGCACTTAATCACTCCATGAACCAACTAATAATAAAATAATTGAACCTAATTCTTTGTTTGTAGTACAGGGAGAATGCGAGGAAATCAGACGAAGTTAAGGATGATAGCCAAGTCAATCTAGAGCGACAGAGACCGTTGACAACGGACGTTGATAAAAAGTTGAGAGAAATCATCCTAGCAAGATTTTATAAGTTTGTCAAGGTGCATAGAACATCGTTTTATTTTTTTTTTTTTTACTGTTCACGTTAGATATCAAAGATTTAGCGTTCGAAAAGCAAGCCTCTGTATATTTTTGTCTCTCTTAGGCTCTGGTTGAAGCGGATATCAAACGCAATGGCAGTGTCACGCGCACAGTTCTTCATAAAATCATCAATACAAATGGCCTCCACATTACTAACCATCAGATGAATCAGATTTGGAACACGTTCCCTCAGAATGAAGACGGATCTATTCAGTATAAAGATTTTCTATCACTTTATACCAACACTAAAAATACACCGCGAAGAAATAAGTCTTCAACTGCAAGAACTCCACAGAAGGTACATGTAAAGATTTTAAATACTTTTATGTAAGTATATAATAGCATGCAATAAAACAGTTATTGGTCGGTATCTTACATCATGGAGAGATAATCAATGGCGGAAATCTTGGTGGGGCGGGGGCAAACCACTTCACGGAAAATTGATGAACTTTCGTCAATTTTCGTTTTATCTTTTCGACTGCAAATGAGAGGGGGGGGGGGGTGTCGGGAATTTAAAAGTTTTGTTGGAAATTAGAAGGCTTCCCCCCCTGCCACTGGAGATAATACATGTTATTGAATGTATACACACGTAAAAACGTGTTACAGGTGAATTGTCACATATCTGTTAGTACTTGTAACAAGGTTGTTGCGAAGACTCGCTGCTGTCAGTGTCAGTTAAGCACGATTACATCATGCAGTCAGAGGTTGTACGTGTTCTTCAACGTGCGCTATCGTAGAATTCAATATTGTAACAGACATCTCCTGAATTTGCTTGAATGTAAACGCAACAATAGATAGCTGAAATCGATAAGTTCTTTTCATTAGCAGCCAGCAAATTCGAGATGTGTTTTGTCATAACTTATATCTTTTTTTAGTTCCATACCAGGGTAAGGAGTGCCCCTTTAACGAAGCCTTCAACTCCGTATGGGGTATTTAGCCCTCCTGAAAGAAGACATCTGTCTGACAGAAGATCAACCCCAGCAGTTAGACCCAAGTCTGCAATCAAGATCTTGACTCCGCCTGGGTATGCGAAAGAAATTGAGAAACGCATTAAGGATAAGGTTTGTCTTGTCTACTGTATTGATGTTTTGATGATCGGGAAGAAGAAAATTCAATATTTTTTTTCATGATTAACAAAAATAGAAATCTAATACATTTCTTTTTATAGATCTGTGATAAATGGCGAGAATTAGAAAACAGTTTTTTGGAATACGATGTTTTGAACTCGGGAGTTGTATCATTACAATCATTCAAAGGTAAAAATGATCTGTAGACTGTACATTTTAAAATTGCATTTTGGAAGCAAAGTTGACTCATTAGTGAAGTTCTAATTCTCTTACTTTTACTTTTGTTCCATGTATGTTCTTATTGTTCTAATTACTAGATGTATTATTTGATTGCAATGTACCACTCACACCAGACGAGATTCGTATTGTTGGAAGAAAATATGAAGTTGGTAACACGGGAAGGTATGTTGTTGCAATTTGGTAATCATTCTCTTCCTAATTGACGTTCTAATGTGTTCGCTGTTTTATTGCAGTATATCTTACATGGAATTCTTACGAAGTTTTCTCGAAGATCAAGTGAATGACCCGAGCGACAAAACTCTCTATCGCTCGAAACTGCAACCAACTCGCATTCTGGTAAGACAGCTTAAAGTTGACATGTTTACGATTTTAGTCTTGAAATCTTGTTCCTGGTGTTATGCGCACCATAGAATCCGCAGAAAGCACCAACGATCGTAAAAACACACTGATATCGAAGGAACTAGACTGAGTTCTACAATACCATCAACTCGAACCGACCTGACCTTGTAGCTCAGTTGATAGAGCATTTTAATGTCTCAGCTTCGATTCCCACCAAAGTCAGGGTTCAAAGGTCTCAAGACCAAAGGACCAAAATCTCAGGACCAAAGGACCAAAGTCTTAGGACCAAAGGACCAAAGTCTCAGGACCAAAGGACTCAGGACCAAAGGACTCAGGACCAAAGTCAAAGGACGAAAGTCTCAGGACCAAAGGTCTTAGGTTCGATTCCCACCGCCGTCAAGCAAACTTTTCAGTTTACCCAGTGTGAACACACTCATGCAGAGAAACATCACAAACACATTTAACTTGAGTCTTGTTTGCCCATTTTTAACTTAATTTCATGTTTTAATTAATAGTATAGTCCTGGTAAAACCACTGACCAATTGCTGGCTCTGATTGCAAGGTTACGTCAGCAAATACGTCATGATTGGAAAAGCATGCGCAGGTCATTCAGGGTAAGCTTGTGATTTAATTTAACGCGTAGAAGACGTACCAGTCAGGACCTATTTTTATCATTTCGGGATTGTATCCGTCACCTTAACTGCAAAATTTCTCGATTCCAGGCATTGGACCAGCGCGGCAATGGAACTTGTAGTACCCTGGCATTCAGACACATCTTGAGAAAATACAATATTGAATTTACTGAAGAAGAATTCTATCACCTGGTAACTTATTATGATAAGAATGTGAATGGTAGGATACCTTATAACGAGTTTATAGGAGCAAGTCTTGACTAGAGGGGATACATTGTCCTGATGCATGCATAGCATACATACAAGCACGAAATCGCACTGTAGTAAGAAAGCTGATAGGAACAGGGATGGATTTAATGGCCGGGCACGTGATCTGCTAAAATCTAGGAGATTTTTAATTTGCAATCCAAGATGTAGTCTCCATCGCAGACATTCTTATAGCTCTAGCCCTCGTTAGTTATAGCTCCAACCCTCGTTAGTTATAGCTCTAACCCCCGCTAAGTAACGAGGCTTAGAGCTATAAGAGCGTCTGCGTGGGAGACCATAGGTAGACCAACAATCAGTGGTATCATAGTTAATAGAGGAGATGGTTTGGAAACTCGTTAGCATTACAATAAAATCACAATAAACCTCATTATCTATGTTGTTCAGGTTTATGCAAAAATGCGGTCTTTCATCGTCACGTGCGTATTGTATTTTTCTCAAGTCAACCAATAGGAATGTTCAAAATGTCTTATTGTTAAAGTCATGGATGGGCAATTGGACAAAACCGTCGCTATTGGCTGGTTGAGCAAAAATACAATACGCACGTGACGATGAAAGACCACATTTTTGCATAAACCTGAACAAAAACATAGATAGTGAGGTTTATTGTAATGCTAATAAGTTTCCAAACCATCTCCTCTATTAACTATGGTGGTATTAATTCATTTCTGTTCAATAAAATCATACTACTACTCAGTCCCCGACTGCATTGTTTACGCGCGGTCAGATCATGAATACTATAGAGTATACATACATGATCTGACCGCGCGTGAACAATGCATTCGGGACTGAGTAGTATTTTATTGATTCTTGCGCACCTATGGGGAGACTATGAGGTCAATAAATATTTTATATTTGGATGATTTTTATAGTTTAATTTATAATTTGAATTTTGTATTGTCGTAAAGGAATCCAAGATAGTTAATTAGAAATCTGCTAGATTTTAGATATGACTCAAACTTGACAATGTCCAAATATTAACAAAATATAAATCTTTATTTTTAAACTACACATACATGAAAATATAACACAACATATTATACTTGTACATTATATATTTATACTAATTGTTCTCATTCAATGTTTTCTTGTTAAAATTATTTACTATTCTTATACTTTTGAAATAAAGCGTATAGAATTCGTAAGGTCGACTTCAGATCTTTTGTTACGATGTCTGAAAAACAAACAAACAGATCATATAGAAATGAATTATATAGTAGTTGCCAGTTTGGAGTTAACAGCCATTTGGATGTGTGGTACTTCGGAATTGATCTTATCATAGTAGGTAGTATCTCAAAGGTGTATGCCTGTATTCTAAAAGCTCACTCACACTCAATGAATTGAGGTTCAATCTGAGCTTCTCTCGAGTGTCAATGCTGTTTTTGATAGCTGGAGGGTGAGTAGTCATATGGTAAAGTACGACACTAACCCTCTAGCTATTCAAAAACAGCATTGATACTCGAGAGAAGCTCAGATTAAACTTCCACTCATTGAGTGTGAGTGAGCTTACGAGCGGTATTGTAGGTAGTTAGTATTATACAATAAGCTGCTGTGATTGTTTATGAACCATCTAAAAATGATCTCAAACATGGTCATCGTCAAATCTCTGGTAGTTAAACGTTCGCTGTACCTTCTGGTGTACATCTTGGATACGGAACAGATGAATCATCCATCAACTCGAAGGCAAATGCCACGTTCTTGACCTAAGAAAACATTGAATAAAGTCACGTTCACATTTGTATAACACAATCTAAAGCAAGCACCACATCCACGCATTTCAAAAGACTTGCAGAGAAGTTAAAAATATTACAGACCTTCTGTTCAAATCCAGAAGGTGTAACTTTAAACCTGTACAGTGGAACAAAATATCCTTCCAGCAGACCGATAAGGAAGATGAGATGAACACCATCATGGAACTAGAAGAGATTAAGGACGCTGTTACATTATGCAATTTTGTTGCGACAGAAGTTGCACGCGAAATTGCAAGCTGGTGTGTATCATGCCTCACAATCAACAAGTCTCGCAATATTTTTGTTGCAACAACCATTGCACGAAGTAGAACCAGGTTCTACTTTCTGCACAGTGTAACTAGTCGCATTGCACAATGTAACTAGTCGCTCTTGTAACTAGTCTCGCAATGTTTCTACACTGAATGGCTTCCTATATTGGCTTTAGACTGTTGTTATGGTGCCAAACGTTAGCACTCACAGTTTTCATACTATTTTTAATAATGATCATTGCAGGTTGCATGGAACATATTGCTTGGTGTAACATCCTTTGCAATGTTCTGAAACAAAGTTGCTTAGTGTAACAGCACCTTAAGAATACTTTGCATTTATAACTACCAATACCATCATCATCACCCAAAATTACCATCATCATTACCCAAAATTACCATCATCATTACCCAAAATTACCATCATCATTACCCAAAATTACCATCATCATTACCCAAAATTACCATCATCATCACCATCGTCATCACCATCATCACTATCACCACCATCATGATCATCACCATCATTAGTACAACCATCATTACCACCACATATACCTGTGTATCAATATCATTGACTTCCAGATTGAGTTTGGTAAGATGCCGATTTACAAAATTCTGTAAAGACTAGACAGAAGAAAAACAGAACAGTCGGCAATGGTAAGAAACACTTTTAAACATTTTCATTCTGTAGAAAAATTACCTTTTTGACTACATTTAATTTTTCTGGAGCATTTTCAAACAGTGCATCAAAAGCATCTCGTTCTAAATAGAAATTCACAAGTCAAAACTGTCTAGGAAATATTTGGTTGTAGTTCGAAAAGTAGCTATAAAAAAGTTTAAATCGTGTTCACCTCTTCGACGCTGTTTCTCCAATCTATGAGGGGGAAAATCAACCATGTTACATTCAACACAATGCAAAATAAACAAGCTCTTAGACTGTCAGTTTTAATTAAGCTGTTGATAATGGTTGTCTCTTATTGATCCTGAAAAACCCTTAGTGCTTGAAGGTGTAATATTTTGTTTCAATACTCACTCAACTTCTTCCGTATCTTTGGTGATTTGTACATTTACTCTTTTACTGTTCAATAATCCTTCTTGTTTCTAAAATAAAAGGTCAAGTTTTAATCTTTGCTTCCTATCAGTATCTTGCAAAGAATTGTTTTAATACCTGTACAACAACAATTCTCATATAAACTCCAGGTGTGATCGGATCATTTGGTGAAAAATGTTCTTTTAATGCAACCAGCAAGTGAAGAATTGAAACAATGTCTTTATTGTGGATTTCTATAGAATAATAAACATAAAGCAATCCATTAATAAACAAATTATATTGCATACCACTAGAATTATGTAATTCAATAATTAGCTCAACCGCTTAGCTATTTATTTATACGTAGACGATGGTTAACTCGAAAGCTGATGCTCTTTTAACCGTCGTGCATGTTTGAAATATTTTCGTTCATTTTATGTTTTTCTTCTATATACTCAAAAAAATGAATTACTTATAGTTAATAATGTATATATATTAAATAGTGTGAATAAAGTGATTTGATTTGATTTGATTTATAATAAAGTTTTTAGTTTTATCAATCATCAAATGAGCATCATACTTGTTGCTGTCCATTGTACTTCACTCTTATCAATTCTTACAAGTTGTTCCACTTTGTTTAGAATTATCTCAAGTTTTTCAATCTGAAATTACAAGTTGAGGTAAGGTTTAACTATGTTGCACTCACTGGAGCAACCCAATTCAATCATCTTACAATTGATCATCATAGCTTACCTGCCCCCCTACTGATTGTGTCACCTCTGAGAATTCAAACTTTATTTTTGCTAATTTTTCTTTAAAAAAACAAATAAAATTTAAGACAAGGACACTTGAGGCATTGTAATACATTAATCTGAAAATCCATTTGATATTTTAAATAAAATTTTACCCATTAAAATGGACAAGATCTGTCCATCATATAAATCTTCCTCAAGATCTCGTACAACAATTCTTTTCTCAGCTAGTTCGCTATTGATCCATTCTAGTAAATTCTGTAAAGATTACGAGAAACAGTTTTAAACTTGATGCCTATCACCATCATTTATCATCATCATCATTATTACTATCACTACCATAATCATAATCACCACTGCCATCATCATTACCATCATCATTACTATCATCATTATCATCACTACCATTAATATCATCACTATCACCATCATCATCACTATCACCATCATCACTACTATCATTATCATCACTACCATCATTAATTCATTATCATCACTATCACCATCATTATCATTACTATCATCATCACCACTACCATCATCATCACTACCATCATTATCATCACTACCATCATTATCATCACTATCACCATCATAATCTGATTATGATGGTGATAGTGATGATAATGATGGTAGTGATGATAATGATGGTCATGATGATGGTAGTAGTGATGATGATAGTGGTGATTAAATCACCACTATCATCATCACTACTACCATCATCATGACCATCATTGTCATCACTACCATCATTATCATCACTATCACCATATCATTATCACCACTACCATCATTATCATCATTATCATCACCACTCATTATCATCACTATCATCATATTATCACCACTACCATCATTATCACCATCAGATCACATATCATCATCACCATTACCATAATTATAACCATCATTATCAGATCACTATCATCATCATTATCATCACTACCATTATTATCACCACTAACATCCCTACCACAAGTTCTAGTGTCTACCAAAACTCACATTCATTAGTTCATGAACTTTTGGATCTTCTAACGAAGCAGGTTCAACCATCGTCCTTTCTTCCGTCTCCTCTGCAAGGTTATATCGAAACGGTTATAAGATGCTTTCCTCACAAATTGAAATATTTTTATATAACTCAGTTGAAGTTACCTAGTTTGAAACTGTTTGGTATGATAATTGCAGGTGACAATGGCGTGTCAATTGCATTCTTCCCTTCCGTTTCCAGTGCATTCACTACAAGACAAAAAAATTGTTTAATCGATGAACAAAAAATGTTGGCACTTCAGCAACACTTCAGGTATCTGTTTGTAGTCCTAGCTAAATTAAATAGTCATTTGGGTATGGCCAATACTGTTTTGCTTTGCGATTGATGAGCGAAGCGAGTATGCAAAGAATGGAAGGTCGAAGCTTCGAGGGTGCTGTGAGTTGAGTGGTGGGCAAAGGCTTGCAAGCTTTGTCTATTTGGTTTATTGTTCGAGTGCAACAGATGGGCTAAAAATTTCAGCTTGTCATGAACGCAAGTACAGCCATGGCTGTTTAAATGTCTTCCTAGCGCTAAATTCACTGTTCGCCGGCTTAACCCATTAAGCGCCAGCGCTCTCCCCTTGACGAGTAAAATCGTCTGCCGTTAGACAGAGTAAAATACTAAAGTAGGGTGCATCAGGGTGCAATGCAACTCAATGGGTTAACTAGACACATGGGCAGATAGGTCAGTTAACCATTAAGCACCAGCGCTCTCCCCTTGACGAATAAAATCGTCTGGCATTAGACAGAGTAAAATACTAAAGTAGGGTGCATCAGGGGGCAATGCAACTCAATGGGTTAAAACAAGATGGCTGCTTCAGAATAACTGCTTGTTGACCAGCATAATTTGTGAAACTTCGCTTAATAGGGATGCAAGTACCTGAAAAATATGTGGATAACTTCTACGTTTTGAGTGACGAGGCAGTTGCAACCAACCAATCAAAATTTTATTATTATTTACACAGACCATTCAAGATAATACCTTGTGAAACCTGTATATTTTGTCATGGTTAAAGCTTGGTTCACATATGGGTAAAGACCTACCTAAAATGATCGTGTTTTGTGATCGGCTTTCAGAAACAAAAATGATCATTGTTCATGATTCGTTCTTTAGAAAGACAATTTCTATAGTTTTATTGTCTTTCATTGTTATAATCAACCAACCACGAGCCTGGATAGTATAGGCAGATGATGACCTTCACATACACCTGTGGTATGTCGGCCGGCCATTGTCATTAGTAGTTCAACCAAACAATTCACAAAAGAATGTATGCGTCAAGTTACTATAAACAACGATAGCTCAGGAATACCGCAGGCATATGTGAAGAGATTTTGGAATAAATCTACTGTAATATCAGACTCCCATACTCGCTATCATATTTAAGATCATGTATAGTTAGTCATTAATTGGTCAATTTAACTCGAGTATGTCAAATGTTCTATATAAAATTAACAGAAAATTTGAAAAAGTCTAAATGTATATACAAAAGATGAAGAACAACATAGTTAAACAATCATATGTATATGTATATTGAACCACATAGGATCGCTTTGTTTTGAAAATGAACCAACATCACATATAAACAAAGAAATTCTACAGTATTTGTAAACAACATTTTAGAATTTACTACTACGGGAGAAATGAGAAAAATCTGTGATTAGATTTTAAATATATTATAAGGAGTGACATGAGTATATAAAACAAAGTATAGCTGTTTCTAGTTTGGCTGAAAAGCGTCTATAAGTTAGTGTATATTATAAACAGTAATAGGCAAATTAAGTCAATTATACTGTAAACAGCCCAATGGGGTAACAGTGCACACTACACATCCAAAATTGCCCCCATATTACCTTCATCTGTCTTCTTTCGGCGTGTCAAGGTACCCATCCACCCCTTAACTCCCTCTTTCTTCGATGCATCCCTCCGCAGAGAGTCGTTAGGACTCGCTGTGCCCGGTTTTGGGCTCGGCAAAGGTGGACTAGTTGCCATTTTGCGTTTGTTGTTTTGACAAAGGGAAGGATTTATATTTTATGCTGCTCCCAAATACCGGACATTTCCGATTACGCAGCGAAGTTTAATTCCGACTACTGATCTCTAATATGAGACTGGATCTCTAACCGTTCTATATGTAAAACTATGTGTAAAACAGTAAAAGCGGAAACAAGATGGCTTCTAGTGGCTTCGTTAGAAAGATAATTATTGGCAGGTATTTTTCCATCTTTTCTACAGTTTAGCCACATTTTTTACTGCGTTGTTGTGTTCCAAAAATGCATACCATAATAGTTATGGAATATATTGTTTGGAAACTCATTTATAGAATATTAACAATGCAACTCTATCTACAGGTATGTTTATAGTCAACGTTTATTCGTAAATCTGGTCCTTCACCGTCGGGTGCATATTGTATTTTTGCCCAACTAACCAATTTGGCAGGGGCTGTGGCAAGGGGATAAATGTCTCTTATACGCGCACTGGTTACGGTTACGCCAAAATCATGGAAAATCATAGGAAAAACCAAGAAGTCGCGCTTCTGTGTAGTCTATTCTGTGGTGTGGGCATGTGCATAGAGATTATAAATAACGAAGTGACTATATGACCGGCAGCCGGTCACGGTTTATAAAATACTAAATGACCGGCAGTCTAGTGACTATTGTTAAAGTTTAATTTTTATAAGATAAACCTATCCCCAACCCCAAACCCTTTTCTAACCCTAACCCCTAACCCTAACCTTTTGAGAGTTAGAAAAGTCGGGAAAAAAAGTTTAAAAAATTTTAAGAAAAAACAATGCTAAGTCAGACAAAACACATCGCGACCCCGACTGCGCTTAACTTTCCGCACGCAGCGCCCTTGCTGTATGAGCTAACGGCAAGCTCGGTAAAAGTTAACGCAAACAAAAGTTTTTATATTCAACTATAGTCACTAGACTGCCGGCCATTTAGTATTTGATAAACCGTGACCGGCTGCCGGTCATATAGTCACTTCGTATAAATAACAAGTGTGATAACAGAGTGTGGTAACAAGAGCTAGAACAGTTGGCATCGCAATCTTGACTAGTGATGGGCGATCACCGATTGCAGATTACTTGGTATCGATACCACCCGATACCAGGCCCAAATCGGAAGTAGTTGATACTGCACGGTATCGAAAAAGTGTTTTGATTACTTTTAAAATTAGACATTCATTATAATTCTGTGGTTGTGTAATCGTTTTCATGGCTATTTCTGTTGTGTATGACCCATGATGCTTTGGGGTCATCGCCCAAGGCATGATAGTTGTTTTGGACATTATATTACAAAAACACAATCAATATCGAAGAACACTACAATTTCTAATAAAATTTATGTACTTTTTTGTATTTTTCTGCATTTACCAATGGGTCATTCCAGAAAACATCCATACCTCCCCCACGGAGGAAATAGGAAGTTAACCCCCCTACCCCCTTTGGATGTCCTAATACATTTACTATTATCAGAAACAATTTTTTCTCCCCTCCCCCTCCGGACGGCAGAAATTTCCTCTGTGGGAGGAGTATGGATCTTTTCTGGAACGACCCAACTTAATCAAACTTCCTTTACTTTATTTGACATTCTATCCACTTCCCTGATTCTCTCTCCTCCGCAGAGGCTTTAGTTTTCTTAGGATTTAATATTACGATGAGATACATTTCACTACATTTTACATGGCGGATCTTGGAACACGAGCGTAGCCGCTGGGCGAAGGAGCGCAACGGCAAGTGGAAAGGCGAAGTCCCTGATTATTCCTGACCCTTCCTGACTCGTCAACAGAATAAATTATGAAAAAAGCGGGAAATAAATTAATTTTTGTTTTTTCATGGTTATAATGGCGGAAAACTCTGAAATACAATCGTCGTCGTATCAATAGTAATCATTTGGGTAATCGATACCCCAATACTTTTACAAAAAAATAATCCGTACCGAATCGGTACTATTCACTGAGGGACAAACAGATTATACAGTAACAAACAGACGGACAAACTGATTATACATGGACAAACAGATTATACAGAGGCAAACAGATGGACAAACAGATTATACAGGGACAAACAGATTATACAGGGGCAAACAGATGGACAAACAGATTATACAGGGGCAAACAGACGGACAAACTGATTATACATGGACAAACAGATTATACAGGGGCAAACAGATGGACAAACAGATTATACAGGGACAAACAGATTATACAGGGGCAAACAGATGGACAAACAGATTATACAGTAACAAACAGACAGACAAACTGATTATACATGGACAAACAGATTATACAGAGGCAAACAGATGGACAAACAGATTATACAGGGGAAAACAGATGGACAAACACATTATACAGGAGCAAACAGACAGACAAACAGATTATACAGGGACAAACAGACGGACAAACACATTATACAGGGCAAACAGACGTACAAACAGATTATACAGGGACAAACAGATGGACAAACACATTATACAGGGCAAACAGATGTACAAACAGATTATACAGGGGCAAACAGATGGACAAACACATTATACAGGAGCAAACAGACAGACAAACAGATTATACAGGGACAAACAGACGGACAAACAGATTATACAGTGGCAAACAGACGGACAAACAGATTATACAGGGACAAACAGATTATACAGGGCAAACAGACGGACAAACAGATTATATAGGGGCAAACGACGGACAAACAGATTATACAGGGCAAACAGATGGACAAAC